ATATAATTATTAAAAATTATATTACTTTAAATATTATCCCTGCATCATATTTTAAATCCCATTACATATAGATCACATCATTAGAAACAGTTGAACCTGAGCTAAACTGATGAACTAGCGGCAAATACAAAATATTTGTCAGCATCTTCTTCTTCCTCTACTATATATATACTCGCCAGAGTAATTTATCTACAATATTTCATATCATCTGTTAACATCTCTCAAAATCATATGGCATGGAGCTCGTTTTTATGGCTTGATGTGTGAATTGGATGAATAGTATAAAGCTCTCATGGCGTGATTTAAGGCATCGATAATAAAGTCTATGACTAGCGTTGAGGTGAGGTGAACTCGTTTCCTCGTCAGTCGTTGCTGCACTTTAGCATTTAGAATTAGCACAAAAATAGGAGAGAAAACCGTCTCTTTAGCTATTTTAACTGGTGGTATTTCTGTGACACGTCTGGTAGCAACGCTCGTAAAGAGCTGTTAATTATTATTAATATAATAATACAAATATTATAACTATCTACATGAAATGCTCTCATTCTAACACATTTTCATTGCCACACTGCCTTACCTCTTTTAATACTCCAATCAAATTTGCCAGCAAGCCCCTAAAAGAGGTTTCGATATTCGTCGTGACAATGCTATTCGCAATTAAGCATTTTCGATGCGAATTTGCATTTTGTGGCGTCAGTTACGTCAGAGGAAGCCGTATAAAAGACGGCTCTCGCCCAGAGTGGAGCATCAGTCAAAGCTTGTCTCGACAATCAACCACTGCACAATTATCAAAATGTTCAAACTCGTGAGTACTCCAAAGGATGCCGAGGATAACCAGTGATAAAACTGAATTCAATTCCTTTCAGGTGTTGATCTGCGCTGTTATCGGCATGGCCGTCGCCCTGCCAGTCGGTGATGAGTCGAAGGCTGAAGTCCTTAGCCGCAAGGACGATGTTCGTCCCGATGGCTTTGATGCCTCCTTGGAGACCGACAACAAGATCTCGCGCTCCGAGAGCGGCGATGAGAAGGGTAACATCCACGGCAGCTTCAGCTGGGTCTCCCCCGAGGGTGAACTGATCGAGGTCAAGTATGTGGCCGATGAGAACGGATACCAGCCCAGCAGCGCCAGCCTGCCCGTTGCTCCCCCAATCCCAGAGGCCATCCAGCGCTCTCTGGAATGGATTGCTGCTCACCCACCCGCACCCGAACACTAAGAACTTTTTGAGTTGAATGGATCTGTCGAAGGCTTGATTGATCTTCCTTTAACGCGAAATAAATGAATATAATTAAAAGTTAATGTTTGTCTATTGTTGAAGTAGATTGAAAAAGGAAAACCGATTTCATATATAATTATGAGCTGCATACGCTGAACTTTGCCGAATAATCCGACATTTCTTAAATGCAAAAGAATTGCTCTTAATCTCCTTTGGCAGAGTAAGGTGAATTGTTTTAAAGAGTATGAAAATACTTCAGGCAAATGGAAAATTCTCCGATAATTTGTGCAGAACAATAATTCTAACACATGAGCACATTAATGATTCAGATTTCATTATAGTTGAAAATGTCATCACACTGCTTTAATGATCCTTGTATAAGACAATAGACTCTTTCTACATAAAGTTCTCTATATCAACGATATTATTCTATAAAACTAAAAAAAAATAAAACTTTAAACTAAAATTTTTTCTATTCCTATTGTAAACTTAAGTATACGTATTAAGCAAAAATTAAGCTTAAGTATTTATTTAAAGTATAGTTTTTAAATTGGATGCAAATCAGTGTTTTGCACATGCTATATTTATTTTATTTTTTATTTATATAAATCTTAGAGATCAAGATAGCTATATAGCTCTATATAAATAAATATTATATAACAATTAAATGGGAAGAGAGAGAAGAAAGAGTCAAAATAAGATATTAAAGTTTGAAATGATACTGTTTTTGCATGTAAGCAAATGGAATTGCTGAAAGTATTTTTAAGTATATTTAAAATAATTATCAATACAGTGAATATGGCGACGTGAGGGCTGTGAATTATTAAGATTAATAGAGGCTTGTTTCTTTAACTTTCATTTCTATATATAACTTTTTACTAGCTACTTAAGTTATTTATATATTTTTAACGTATTTAGATCTTGAAAGTCGTAAATTTAAAATTAACATAATTTGAAACTACAAAATAATTAAAGTCCGGTTTTGCCAGCACATTGTTAAAATTCTTGTTTATTGACCATATAGATATGATTTAAGCTTATTGCAAATTCAATTATGCGATCGCAGAATGATAAAAATATGATAAACTGATTTCGGGTATCCGAGCTTGTATTCATTTCTAAAGCGAAATTAATATGATATTGAGTATATTTATGTATCTAAAAATACTTTTGCACAATATTAGCCTTACATCAAAAAGGTCATATATGATACATAATATTTTATCATATGTAATGTATCATTTATAATATTTTATTATATTTAATGACAATATATATTTAATCACAAAATTGTAACTATATTACTATCGATTACCCTTCAAATTGACAATTTGAATTGCCATTTAATTATTATTTATTTATTTATTTACCTATTTATTATTTTTTTTTTTTTTAATTTACGTTCATATATGTTTTTCATTTTTTTTTTAAATTTTTTTTTCTAATCTGCGATTTTCTCTAGTCTTTAAAATGTTAATATGAGTAAGTGAGCAGTTAAAATTAAAATATGTTTTAAATCTATGGTTTGTGAATTGAATAAATAAATAAATTAAAATTACTAATATATGTATATGTATGTATTAAACATTAATCAATATAAGTGAAACTGAACTCTATGCTTGGAAAAGAGTATTAAGTGATCGACCATTTCATATTGAAAGTGTTTAGCAATCAAAATAAATAACGGTCTTAAATTAAATTAAACTGCTAAAATATTCGCTTGGGTTACTCCCTGCATTATAGGGCAAACGATGGCTATAGAAATAATATTATATAAATACACAGCTTCAATTGAACAAACTGGTCTCAATGTTTATGTTCGATATTCAATTTGCATATGCAATATGCACGAACAGGTCCGATGCTTCTTTTTTCCTGTTTCTCATTACCTAGCAATGTCATTTTGGTGGAACTTGAACCGTCAATTATTTCTTCGGTTGCCAACTTTGCAACAGGTTATTAAGGGAATTGTGTCTAGTTGCACAGTTAGTTCCATAGAATATTTCCCCAAATATGCAAAAATGGAGTCTAAACAAAATTACTGCCAGTCATTGATGTCAAGGCTCTGAAAGAGTTATGGAAATTCAGTGCTAAAATGTTAATTGCATTAAAACATTTACGGTCCAAATTTGCATATTTTTTAGCTCAGATACAGGTCTCTTCATATGCAGTTGCGTCAGAGAAAGCTGTATAAAAGACGTTGACTATCTAGAGTGGAGCATCAGTCAAAGCTTGTCTCGACAATCAACCACTGCACTATTATCAAGATGTTCAAACTCGTGAGTACTCCAAAGGATGCCGAGGATAACCAGTGATAAAACTGAATTCAATTCCTTTCAGGTGTTGATCTGCGCTGTTATCG